TGAACCCATTCGTTGTTCTTATTTCTTTTTTTTTTTTCGTTTTGTTTTTTCCGTTTTTTTCGTGCCTTTCACTCCAACGTTCGGGATGACTGCGCCCGGTAGTCCGAGCCTCGGCACGAATCGGCGTATCGGTCGGCTGAGGCTCGGACTCGATAGCTGGGCCAGGTACTGGTGGTTTAAGATGGCTTGGCTGATCGAATTTAGGAAGGATCTGATCACATGTTTTCATTTTAATGAGTGGGCACTGGGCAACAATGGGTTCGAAACTGGATATTATCGTGCAAAAAACTGAGGGTTGTTATGTTTGCTGTCTTTCATCTGCTGACGGACGGAGTCGTAGTTGGGTAAAACCTGTGTTTGTGCTAGAGCGAGGCCCTCGATTCATGATTATGCTTAGGGGTATATCGGTTATCCACATTTGGAATTTCCAGCTCACAACTATTGTTCGAAGCTTCAATTTCTTTCCAAATTGTGATATCGTAAGAATGTTGCCGAGGTTCGTTAAAATAGATGGTGCACGCTTCATCGTATCTCCTAGTATTATGAAAGTGATGTTGTTATCGATGGTCCAGCGTACGTCTTCTTGTTGTTCTTCTTTTTCTTCTTTTGTTCTTCTTTTTCTTCCTCTTCTTCGTCTCCTTCTTCTTCTTCTTCCCACCGTTCTCTCAACGTCTCGTTCCCTATAATCCATCTGTTGAAGTTTAAGAGTAAGTGTGGTTGCATGGCTTCCTAAGGTAATTGTATGAGAGTTGGTAAACACGGTGGAAAATGCGATGAGTCTTTATAGAGCGTATCCTGTGGGATGACAATGATTTGGAGTGCATATTTATTATGTACTGGGGCGCCCGCAATATGTGTTCACACACACAAAAAAAAAATTAAAAAAAATCATTTTTATCAAATTTTATGTCTATATGCCTATCTCCCGTTGCCTGTTTTTCTGAGTATTTTCTGCTTACCGAACTGAGCACCCTTAAGCAGTGCCAAACAGTCGGTCAATCCTCTTTTGGAGTGCCTACAACACTCGTAGGGGGGACACTCTGCAGGGTTCAATCATGATGTGAGTAGGTCATGTGCCGCTTTGCTCTGTCTTGGATATGTGGACTGCCTCGTTTGCACTCTGCCTCTACCTTGCTGCCTGTCCCGCTTGCTTCGCATGTTGTTCTCTGCAAGCTGCTGTGTTCGCTCTGTGGCATGGCCGTGTTGCTGTTGTTGCCTTGTGGTTCGCTGTTCCGCTGCCTTGCCGCCAATCCGCAAGCTGTGCCTATCGTGTCCTTTCCTTACGTACCTTCTAGTTCGCTTGCCTATTTCTTGTTGCCTTGTGCTTCACTGCATGGTTGTCGTGCTGCTCGTCACGCCCTGTCGTTCCTTGCAGTGTGCCTGACTTGTTGGTGTTGCCTTGTGCTTCACTGCGTGATTGCTGCATTGAATGTCCGCTTGCCATGTAGTT